ATCAATATATACTTCCATTGTTTTTCTTAATTGATCCACCAAATTTTTATTTACTAGCTTTGGTATGTTACCCTAGCGTTCTAGTCCAAATGGTATTACCTTATAATAGTATAATATCCGATCTGTTACGAATGTACTGTGTTCCTGATTTGGTCTACGTATGGAGATTTGATTATATCTCGAATATGCATCCATGAAGCTGAATAGTTCGTGTTCGCAATTGCTTCCACTAGCCGATCAATTGTGGAGAGTAGGATGTTGTCTTTAGGATAAGCTTTACTCAAGTCCATGAAATTTTGGCACCTTAGCCACTTTCCATTGCTTTTTGGTACTAAGACCAGATTATGTACCCAAATTGGGTATTGGGCCTCGCGGATGAAGCAATTTTCTAGAAATCTATATACTTTGCTTTTTAATGCTTCGTACTTTTGAGCAATTATTGGCTAGCTCCTTTACATTTTAGGCTTGATCTTATGATCAATTTTTAAGGCATGACAAGCCACTTTGAGATCTATTCCCACCATGTCAGTATGCTTCCAGGCGAAAACATCTTGGTACACTTCCAGAAAGTTGTTTAGTAAACCTTTCATAAGTTCACTTAACTACTTGCCAATTTTTATAGCCTTGCTTGGATCCTCTAAACTAACGGAAAAGCTTTCTAGCTCTTCAATAACAACCATCTCTGACATGTAATTGGTTATATAGGGATCGATCGAGTAATAGATTTCCAGTTTATTCTCGCGATTACTCATTTAGACTATGGCGATTATATTCTTCTTAGGAGCTCTCATGACTCATTCTCATGTGTTACTTTCACGATTTATGTGCAAGATTCCTTGATTATATTTTAAGGACATTTTGCCTTTATTAATGGAATACACCACTTACGATTGATGGAAGGAAATAATTATACATGCATGTTTCATGGTAGACTGTATAAGGACTCTATTGTATGTGGATTTTTCTTTGATGATGCTGAAATCCATATATCATTGATACCCTTGAGGCTCATAGGCCGCCTCTAGTGAAACAGTAGGCTCCAACACGGGGATCCAATGATTTTTTTATAACATTCGATCAAATGCTTTTTCGTATAATACATGTTCTGTGCTTTCATTGTCCAAAAAATGTGGTGAAAACTTTCTTCTACTATTACTGCCTGGATCACTATATCTCTTCTCTTGTTCCTAAACTTTCATTTTTAGGTGTTATAAATTTAATTGAAGAGATTAAGGATAGTAGATTACCCGTCTTTTCAAAATTTTCTGAAGTTGTATCTCACCTAGTATGTTAATAATCAAGCTGCTTAAATCATTAGTGTCATTGCCTCTAAATTTCTGGTTTTCTTTTTTCATTTTTCAATAAATTTCATTTTCATTTGTTGTGTCTAATAATTAAGAAACATTTCTTTATTGTTTTCATTCGTTTTGTGTTTAATAATCAAGGAAACATATTTCTTCATTGTTTTTATTTAGTTGGCATGAAATTATTTTTTGTATGGAAAAAATATTTTTCCAAAGACCAGTGAAAACATTAATTGGTAGGTTGTGTAGTCTAATCTGTTAGACAAAAATCGATCTAGAGCAATTATGCAAAACTGGCTCTTTTCTTTTATAGTGGACTAGAATAAGGCTTTGTATATTTCACATTTTCTAAAACATATACATTTTTCACAAACTCATTTTAAATATTTTTTTAATTGGGCTTCTGTAAGTGTTATGCCCTATGTTCAATCAATTTTGGACATAAACACTTTTAATATATAATTGATGCATATTTATGGCAAGATCTATTATTTAATTGAATTAATGTTCTAATAAATTAAATGATAGAATTTGTAGATTCAAGTTTTGATAATTTGTTAATTACA